CACACACACACACACACACACACACACACACACACACACACACACACACAAACACACACACACAAAAAGGTTTTTTCTGTAAGTCACCTTTAGTGACAGGTGGCCCATAAAAATAGACTGCAATCAATAATCGCTAAGGAATATAATTTCTGTTTGTTGATGCAAAGCTTCAGCTGTGCCGCTCCCATTAATGCCAGTGGGAGTTGCATCGCTAACGCACAGAATGTCGAGCGCAGACCCATAAATATCATTCACAGTTGCAAACAGATCAACTTCAATAAGCAGTCTTTCTGGCAAACCTAGGCACGGCTTTGTCCACACACGGCAGTGTAGCAAAGAGGAGGGAACTGTAAAAACAAAATAGAAACACCCACCTAGGTTCTAAAACATGGGAGGTCTTGTTTGTCTGCACGGATAGGAAAATTTCTTCTACAGAATGAATTCCCTTATTCTGCTCACTTTTTCATTGTATTTCAGCAGAAATCTCTGTCATTATTAGAGCCTTGGTACAAGTTTCAAAATAACCTAATTGATTTAGGAGCCCAAAGCTTAGCATTAGGCTGTTGGACAGGGTGAACTTTAGAGAGTCATTGTGAAACTTAAAAGACAGTCTAGAGAGGAGACCCTTACATTTTATTAGGCCCTCAGGGCTAGATTCACTGAAGGACGTAGGTGGCTAACTGCCACTATAGGTGCCTAAGGCCCAGAATCAGGCCCCACTGGGATTCACAAAACCCCTGCTCAGCCACTGCTGAGCCCGGTAGGTGCCTTAACTTGCTTGACACCTACATTTTTGCAGTAAAAGTTTCCTAGACGCCTGTGTTTCTGCCTCTGAGCATGCCCACTGCAGCCCCATGCTAGGGCTGCGTTTGTGGGACCCAGTCTGAAAGGCGTGCTCTGAGCACGCCTACTGGATCAGGCATCTATAGATGCACTCACACAAAATGCCAGGGGTGGGGGAAAAGAGATGGGACGGATAAGGACTTATAAGACCGGCCATATTGGGTCAGGCTAAAGGTCCATCTAGCCCAGTATCCTGTCTTCCTACAGTGGCCAGTGCCAGGTGCCCCAGAGGGAATGAACAGAACAGGTAATCATCAAGTGATCTATCCCCTGTCACCCATTCCCAGTTTCTGGCAAGCAGAGGCTAGGGACACCATCCCTGCCTGTTTTGGCTTCCCTCCTAACTTATAGCCCAGGGCTAGGGTACTCACCTGGGATGTGGGAGGCGCCCCACCCAGGAGGGGGAGAAGGTATTTGAATTGGGCTCTGCCCTAACCACTGGACACAGGGATGTGATGTGGGGCTCCCTCAGCCTCTCCTGTTGAAGCTGTTCAACTGTGTAGAAATAATTTGTTTAAGCGTGTGGAGCAGGGGGGCTGTATCCTGGGTCTTCCACCTCCTAAGGGAGTGCCCTCCCCAGCAGGTTACAGAGTTGTTGGGCCAGAGAGAGGGCAGGCCTGGGAATGGCTTTGGGGCTAAATATCACCATAGCAATTTGTGCAGCTCAGAAACAAAACTAGGTGAACTTGAGTGCATGGCAGTGGAAGAGGACCTGGATAATGAGCATTCCTGACATCTCTCAGTGGGGTACTGTAACACTTGGATGTAACATATATGGGAAGGATAGCTTAGGTCTTGGACCGTAATGTATACATGGAATAAATAGGCTTGGACGTTCTAGGAATCATGTGCAGCAAAATCTATGGGCAGTTGTGCACCTAATTTGTACGTATAATTACCATGTTTTGCGTGCATTTGAAGGAATCATACGTATAAATGACCAGGTAGATGTGTACCACTACCTACGTGTGAGTAGTAATTCACAGGTACAGTCATGGTAAATGTGTGTGCCATTTGGGGGAGGCAGTTTGCAGAGAATTTAGGCCAGCAATCTCACACAAAAGATAACTAATGCACAGGAAAGAAGAAATGGGCTGAGCGGTTACCTATTGTGAGAAGGATTAGGGCCCATTGTAGCAGATTTGCAGCAGATAAGGCTTCACTGAGGTACCTGGGACCTGAGTTTATTTTCGTGTCCTTGTGTAATTGCACAGCAAAGCTAATGGTGCCATTTGGTAACATGAATAATGTTAAGTTCTCATCTGCCTGAAAGTCACTTCACCTTACTTGTGCAGAACAGCTATTACAATAATTCCCTGTATTTAAAGGGTACCCATGCTACAGTGCTGGAGAGGGTCTGTCTTACCAGGGGCAGCCTGTGTGCAAAGAACCACTTGCAAGTTGCTAAAAGGCAACAGAGGGTCCTGTGGCACCTTTAAGACTAACAGAAGTATTGGAGCATAAGCTTTCGTGGGTGAATGCCCACTTGTAAGTTGCTGAATCCCAGGCTTCTTCCACTCACAATCCCCCACAACTAGAAGGTACAATGGTGATGGGAACCTGATAGGGGCCTGAAATAAAGAAGCATTTACACCTATTCAAGTGGCTTTAATTATAGAAGTGAAGTCGTGAAGATCAATCGATCTCTCCATCTAACTTTTCTTGGTTCTGCAAGCAGAGGGGAGCCTGCTTGCCGCTAGGAGGAATGAAAGACGGAAATGCCACTTGAGTGCCATGTTCCCCTTTCCTCCCTTCTTGTGGAACCCTGGGGTTCTGGCTTTGCAGGTTGAGGGGGGCAGAGGGGGTGTAAGAGAGCAGGCGTCTGATGGACTGGTAGGACCGCAGGATTCTCTCCATCACCCCTTTCCTTCCCACCAACTCTGCTGAGCAAAGCAGAGGAATTCAGAAGAGAGTTTCTGTCTTTCCACCGCCCTGTGTAGGTTACTTGCTCGTGGGATTATTTAGCCCTCCAGCGTGTTCTCAGAAAAGAGTTTGGGATTTGGCCTATCGTAGTTTCTGTATAGCAGGAGAGGTTGACATGCAACTGCCACTTTGTTTTCATGGCTATCCAGGTTCTGTAACTTATGAATTGTGATGTATGAAAATGAAAATCTCCATTGTGATGTTCTTTTGGCAGCTTATTTCTTTTCACAGGTGTCTTATTACATTTTGACAGGTGTCTGACACAAGATGCTGTCTGTAGTGGGATTTAACCTTGGTGTGCCACCTTCAATTTCAGTGCCGACGACTGCGAAACAATGAATCTGATCTGAGTGCCTGAAACCTCGATATAGTTGTATTTAATTTAATTTTCATAGGAGATGTACTGTGCGGAGAGGCTTCCCCCCCCCCCAGGTGAAGGGAATCTGGGTATAACTTGTTCACAGTTGCTGTGTTTGTAAGTCAAACTCAGAGAGAAGTGCTTCTCAGAGAAGTCAGCTAAGACAAGCCTGTCATCTGAAAATGAATTCAGCAAAAGACTAAGTTGCTTTTGTTTTGCTACCTTCTCACTTAATAGTCTTTTAATTTATCAGAAAATCTAGGCTGCTAATAGCAATAAAAGCTGCTAGAGATCATTGCACTGATACGTGAAAAGCTACCATACAAATGCGTTGATGGTAATATTGGTTAGCAGGTACAATCTCCTCAGAAGTCTGAGCTGAGTGAACTCATAAATGTTCAGGCCCTAGATCAGAATGCCTGGTTTCCAATATTTGCAGTGTGATAGCAGGTACATTCGTCCTCATCCATCTATAGCACACGTTATGGGAAAGTTGGTACTGGCTGGTTCTTCCCACCTATGTCAAGGCAGCAGAAGGAAAAAAGCCTCTGGAAGAGTGTTTCTGAAGTTCTGCTCCTGCAGATTCATAGAATAATAGAACTGAAGGGACCTCGAGAGGTCATCTAGTCTAGTCCCCTGCACTCATGGCAGGACTAAATATTATCTAGACCATCCCTCACAGGTGTTTGGAGGTTTTTAAGAGCAGGTTAGACAATGATGGAAATTCCACAACCTCCCTAGGCAATTTATTCCCGTGCTTAACCACCCTGACAGTTAGGAAGTTTTTCCTAATGTCCAACCTAAACCGCCCTTGCTGTAATTTAAGCCTATTGCGTCTTGTCCTATCCTCAGAGGTTAATGAGAACAATTTTTCTGCCTCCTCCTTGTAACTACGTTTTATGTACTTGAAAACGATCCCTATCATGTCCCCTCTTGGTCTTATCTTCTTCAGACTAAACAAACCCAATTTTTTGAATCTTCCCCCATAGGTCATGTTTTCTAGACCTTTGATCATTTTTGTTGCTCTTCTCTGGACTTTCCCCAA